GCGGCCGCTCCAAACACTGTGAACTGCTAGAGGCATAAAAGCGAAGAATGTGGATTGTTATCAAAGGTTTAAACTAAATTCCAAGGAAAGGAACCCAAGACAGTACAGTAGGTATTAAAAGGGCTGGGTCCCTAAATGAAAGGTTGCTGACTCAAAAGTTGGCTGTTCGACACCCCACCTCCTCGCATTACTACCCAAGCCACTCTTCCGGAGAAGATGGAAACATGTAGAAAGCTGATTTTCTAAAGATTTACAGCCTTGGAAACCCTCTAGGACCTTTACTGGGTCCTAGAGGGTTGCTATGAGTTGGAATTCGCTTGTAGGCAAATGGGCTTGGTTGTGGGGTTTTGGTGGTGGTGGTTTTCCAATTCTGTGGAGGGGGAAGAGAATTCTCTATTATTCCAATTGGAAAGTTGGACTGGGGATTAAATTGTGGTTACCACCTGTATGTAAAGGGACAAAATCCTAATCTGTTGCCAGGCTAGTTGCAATCTGTAAACTCCTGGAAAGGTTACCTGTGAGGTCCAGAATACATCATCATTCTTTCTACCCTTGCAGCTGTATCCTGTAATCCATCATCTGTCTAGCTAATTTTAGCCCCTCACAAAAAACAACATCCGATTTTAAACTTCATCCAGGAACCCATGGCCTTTGAAAGTCTTTGATTTTCACTCCTGCAAGAGCAGCAAAGAGATTGGAACATCCAGATACAAGAGTTGAGTTTGGGGACCAGAGGTGGGGGATAATGGGGGCCTGGTTGAATCTGGATGCTTTTGCCATATTCCATGTCAAAGGTAATTTGGAATTCCATTCCCAATGTATACACATGTGCCACAGGTGGCCTCAAAACCTGAAGCCACCCAACACTGCCATCCCAATGAGACAGACACAAAGGAGGAATCCCTTCCTTTGAGAATCCTGGAGAGGGGGCTGTTTGTGCTCTTGTTTATTCTAGTGTTTTAAAAGCTACTTAAGAATTCACTGCATTTCTGCAGCCCTGAAATGGGAATTTAAGTGAGATATGAATCAGAGAAGAAGCCCTGGTGCTTGGATCTGGTATTTCATCCTTTCCAACAATAAGGCTTCCTGGATTCATCAGTTCATGGAAGAGTTACAGTTTCTGTATTGGAAGTAGTCTATTTACTTAAGTATATTAATTATCATCTTGCAACAATGAAAAAGTGTTTTCTTCCACAGGTTAGCAAGTTGAAAGAGCCCTGCCCTTTTTTCATGAAGTAAAGGGGGGAGGGGAGTGAGAACAGAACATTGTACATAATAGCTGTCATCTATATAAAGAAAAAATCCATAAAAATGCATAGAAAAGCTGGAAAAGATACACCAGAGAGACAACAACAGTTGCCTTCCAAGGAAGAGCCTGGTGTTAATGGAGCAGAAATTAAGACTTGTCCCTATGTAGGTTTTTGTTTGTACATTTTTTAAAATTTTTTATTAATTCTTTTTTAATTATAATTATTAATTTTAATGAAGATTTACAGAGACTTTGGATTCCCATTCATTCATTGTTGCATTTTTTTCCCTGTCCCCACCCTGTCCCTTTTAGCTTATTTTTTTCCCCCAGGACTTTGTAGTATTTTTGTTTGTAGTACTTTTTATTAAAGTGTACATACTGAAAAGTATAATAAATACATATTTTAATGAATTTTCACAAACTGAACATACATACCCCTATAACTAGTGCTCAAAAGAAGAAGTAGCACACTATAAATTTGCCAGTCTTCACACCTCCCAGTCACTACATTCTTCACAATGGTTTTGCATGTGTGTATTTTTAAAAATGTTGCATGGGGATGAATAATCTTTATCCAAACTCCTAATCCAGGAGTCAGGAAGAGTACTAATAAAGGGAGAGGTTTAATGAGTGGGCCAGCAGAGAAAACTCAGCAGTGTTTTCAGAGGCACAGCTGTGTGTGGGCGTGTGGGTGTGTAAAGGAACAGTTTTCAGGAACTGTTGCCTATCACAGCCCTAACAGGACAATGCTTGAAGTTTCAGTGCAGAGATGTGGATAACAAAACTAAGCGAAGAGCAAAGGGGGCTGCCTGCATCCACAGAGGGGCAAATTCTTAGTACACTCAGAAGACAAAGGCTTGCCCTTAACTATAGCCTTTAGCCATTTATATCTGTCTTTAGCCAATTAAATCAAGCATGGTACTATTTTCTTGCTCACTCGAATTTTAGAAACATTGTAATAAAACCAACAATGGCTCATCTATAAGAAACAGTATATTAGAGCACATGCACACACTGAAATTATAATATTGACATTTAATGTGTCCTTTCCAGGTATGTGGCCGACATTGTTCTAAATTACTTTCATTCATTATCATAACAATTTAAGATAGGTGAAATCATAGTCCTTATTTTTATGAAATACAAGTAAAGACGTTCCAGGTGCACAAATAGTCAACTTGTATTTTTACATGCTTAGTTGCGAGGCTGGCAGGGGGCTGGGGAAGTAGGGGTGACAGGCAAGATTACAGTTTTATTATATTAAAATGAACGGTAAAGGCCATGATTTGAAAGTGGAAAATAAATTATAAAGAGGGAAACTTAGGGGAAGAAACATTATGAGCTGTACTTTTGTTTTTGCTTTTAAAGCATAGATTTCAGGTCTCTCTCTAGAAAACTCATCCTTCCCTCCCCTCCCCCCCCAAAGCTTCTTTCACAAGAAATGTCTGACTCATCCTCAAGGTGTCTGCTCAAAAGTCACTTCCTCAGCAAGATCTTCCTTGACTACTCAATGAAATTAACTAGACTCCCTGGTACTCTCACTACAGCACCGTTGTTTTTATGAATTTCTAATTGTGTACAGGCAGTCCCCAGGTCACAAACATAGGACTTACATCTGACAACTGGGGAACTAGTATTTGCCCTTTAATTTTATGTAAATTTCTCTTGTTTTGAAACAATCTGTACTTGCAACAATTTCATCATAATAACCTTCACTTGCCACATGTGTCATTTTTAAATCATTGAGAAGGCTTCCAGTCTTGTCTTGCACTAATGGATAAATAAGAACCAAATGCACCTATTCCTACTTACCTACACATTTCTTAAAGACACTTAGGAACTGGTCTCATGTATAACTCAGAGACTGCCTGTATTTGTTTCTGTTTGCTGGCTTAGTTCACCTAGACTGCAAACCCCAAGAAGGTGAAGACCTCATTTGTGTTTAGAGTCTAGTACATAATGGACAGGAACTTTAAAAAAAATGTGTTGATACTAAAGTTTCACTCTGGAGCATACTAGTCTTTGGTCTTTTACTAAAGATTTTCCAGGGTTGGAGCCATTATGAGTTAAATGACACAAAACAACAACCATTAGTTTTTGGGAGCCCTACAAAGGCAGGGCTTATAAACTTGTCTAATAAAAGATCCATTAAAAAAAATGATCTTGTTAAAAAAAAGTGTTGAATACCTAAATCAATGAAAAATGGTCACTTAAATTCTTAGACCTCTTTCTCTTGCCTTTTAAATATTTGCTCAGATCTAAGAATAAAATTATTTTCTATTTTGTGGTGGTGGTGGTTGTTGATTGCCTTTAAGTCAAGCACGACACATAGCGTCCCTATGAACAAAAGGCCTGAGGCCCCTCTGCAACTACTGAAATTTATCAAAGTTGTAATCTTAAAACCTTTCCACTAAGACACCTCCATTTCTAAAAATCCCAAACTCCTCTCAAACATTGCTCCAAAGGGTTTCACTGCCAAACCACAGGAAAGCAGTTCAATCCACCAGCTGCTCTACACGGCAATGATGGGCAGTCTCCTCCTATGGGACTTACAGCCTCTGAAAATTCATTAGAGGGTCAGCTCTGAGGACTGACACAACAGCAATGTGTGTCAACGTGTCTCATTTGTTGCGGAGTATGAAAGAGATTGTGCATTGTGCTATAGACATGAAATGGCTAGAAAAAGAGGTTTTCTAAAAAAAAAAAACCCAAAACACACCAACCCCTCTTATTGCAATTTTCTAAGAAAAACATACAAAGCAAATAGGGTCATACTGCTAATCAATGTCTAGGGTAAGAAATTTTGTTCCTATTTACTCATAGGCCAAATCCATCATCACTAGGGTGACTAAAGGTGAACTCTGTAAGGAAGGTGGAAAATCTTATCCCACATAGATTATTAACCTTATTAGTCAAT